TACCTACGTAACTACTCTCTCTCTATTTCTCTCTCTATCCCTTTATCTACCTACCTACGTAACTACTCTCTCTCTATTTCTCTCTCTATCCCTTTATCTACCTACCTAACTACTCTCCCTCCCTCCCTCCCTACCTACTGTATGTCTCTCTCTCTCTTTCTATTTCTCTCTATCCCTCTACCTACCTATCTACCGACACACTGTCTCTCTCTCTCTTTCTTTCTTTCTCTCTCTTTCTCTCCCTCTCTCTCCCTCTGTCTACCCACCTATTTTTTTTTTTAAAAAAAACACCTCTTCAAAATCTTGGTGCGTCTTATACTCTGAAAAATACGGTATTTATGACGGTCACAGTATCTGGATCGAAGTCAACTCATTTGTTTTATAGCCATGATGGCGAAACTATGGCACGCGTGTCACGGGTGGCACACAGAGCCATATCCGCCGGCACATGAGCCGTCAGCTCCAGCACGCATGCACGGGGCCAGCCAGCTGGAAAGTAATATAAATAAAATAAATAAAACATGGGGGGAAAAAATATGGTTTGTGGTTGTGTTGGTTGACAAATAGTTCGTGGATTCAAGAAGAGGTTTGAAACGCCAGGGGATAACAATCTCCATTTTCCCCCCCATTATTATTATTATATTTTAAGGAGAAGAATACAACTACGTCTGTTCAAGATGAATTTATGGAGTTACTTTTGTGGGGCAAAGCAAGGTAAGTAATTCCACCTCATCCACGTTTGATCCTTTTTCCAGGAGGAAAAATAAAGATAAAATTGTGTTCTTTCTTTTTTTTCCTTTTTCCCTTCTTCTCCTCCTCCAAAAAGTGTTGAACTTCAAGCTCTGCTAATGAACCAGCTCACCGTCAAGGTAGGCCGGCTTATACGGTATGAAATTCTTGTGTATGTGTGTGTTTTTTTAAAATACTTTGTACATTTTCATTTAACGTACACAAGTGCTTTGGGCACAGTGAGAATATATCTGCTGAATATAACTCCGTATTGGCGACAGGGTAGGGCATCCGGCCAGTAAAACACTCCTCTAGCTCCATTCCACTTGCCCAGACTCCACCCTGCAAGGGATTATGGGGTCGTTAAATTAAAATGATGATACATAAGTGCTTTGTGAACAGTGTATGGCCTGGGTCATTATTACTGTTTACATAATAATGTTTTCCCAGCTCCTAATTTCTACTTGGGTGGCTGAGTGGCTAAGACACTGAGCTTGTCGGTCAGAAAGGTCGGCAGTTCGAATCCTTAGCGCCGCGTAACGGAGTGAGCTCCCGTGACTTGTCCCAGCTTCTGCCAACCTAGCAGTTCGAAAGCACATAAAAAATGCAAGTAGAAAAATAGGAACCACCTTTGGTGGGAAGGTAACAGCTAAGAACTAAGAAAATT